CCCTTTGACCTTTAATAATGTGTGGATGCACCCTGATGTGCTACGCATTCTCCAACGCGCCTAGGCATGCTTCTGATCAGGTGGTCAATGTCCTCCTGTGGTATCTCATTCCAGGCAACCACCAACTCCTCTCGAAGTGCTTCCAGAGTCTGATGAGGAAGTTGCAAATTGAGCAATCTCCTACCCATCATATCCCACACGTGCTCATTTGGGGATAAGTCGGGAGATCTTGGTGGCCATGGTAACAATGTAACATCATTATGTTGAAAGAAGTCTATTGTGACTCTTGCAACATGTGGTCGGGCATTATCTGGTTGGAAAGTTGGATCTGCCAGGGTGTCAATATGGGGTAAAAGATGGGGTTCTAGAACTTCGTGGATATAACGCTGCGCGTTCATGTTACCTCTGATGAAGATTAAAGGTGACCTGGAACCATAAGCTATAGCACCCCAAACCATAACTCCAACAGTGTGATGAACATGTCTTTTAACAAAAAACTGTGGATTCCTCCTTTCACCACGTCGCCTTCTAACCCTGGCACGACCATCGTGCATGCCTAAACAAAATCGAGACTCGTCACTAAAGACAATACTGTTCCATTCCTGATCCCAGAGTGACCGTTGTCTGCACCACTCAAGGCGATTACGTCGCTGTTCTCGAGTTAAAGGGAGGACCCAGTGTGGCCGGTATGAAAACAAGCCAAAACTTCTCATTCGTCGGTAAACACTTCGCATGCCAATAGGTCTTCCGTGTTCTGCAAACCATTCATTTGCAATGGACCTGGTAGTGGAGAAACGGTCCCTTGAGGCCAATAATCTTAGGCGGCGATCTTCACGGTCTGTTGTTCTACGGCGGCGTCCAGTGCCCCTTGCTCTTTGCGTACGGCCTTCTCGAAGCCATGCCTGACAACACCTAACCACAGTGTCTACACTTCTTTGCACTCTAACTGCAATTGCCCGAAAAGAAAGTCCAGCTTCCCGAAGTCCCACTATACGGCCCCTATCAAACTCACTAAGTTGACGAAATCGTACAGGTCTCCGTACTCTAGGCATCGTAACCGATCGTAAAGGATGTCAAGAACCAAAATCCGCCAACGTTGATTCTTTACTGCGGCTGAAATATTCATTTTTAGAGCGTTAGTGAATTAAAAAAAAGCAGTATAAAAACCGGAATGTCCAACTGATAAGGCTGAACATTTTTTCACTTGTTATTTATAGTGAGATAAATACATTCACCAACTTTTATTAAAATAAAACCATTTAAACTGGGTGGTCGGATTTATATGTCACTTAGTATAGTCCCCATCACATTGTTTGAAAAATGTAACTATGGCAGATATGATATCATTAAAACTTTTCAGCACTCGTCCACTACTTAACCATCGGACTTCAGAGTGAATAAGTAGTTTCCCGGATTGACAGTCAATTTCATCGGACATGGTTTTGAATAATCTTTTTTGTAACGCTCGAGTTCTAATCTTGTTTATAATTCTTCCTACCAATTTGTTTAGTTTCAGAAAGTGTCCACATAATGCTTGCTGATGGGTAATGCAGTGGTAACAGAGAAATTGCGGAAAACTTTCATCTTTACAACATAACCCCACGAGACTCTCATCACAACCCACCATGGCTGGACCAGCATCGGTTGTCAAGCTTACCATTTTCGATATTAGAACTTTCTCAGAAGAAATAGTATTTTTAAAAGAAGAAAACAAGTCCTGCCCAGTAGTCTGTCCTTTATTCCGTTCAAAGTAATCGAGATCGTTCTCGAACAGATCGCTCACCGCAGTATTACCGCTGCTTGTGTTTATTATGAGAATTTACATAATTTACGGAAGCTTCTATGATTTTTACACCTTTTTAAAATATGTTGTGAGCCACCAGAATTGCCGGTAGCTCGGGATCGCCGGGTTGGCGACCACTGATCTATGCTTATAATATAGACGTGAGGGGGGAGATTAATAATTTTAAGGATAACAAACGTAAGATAGTGACATCAAAAATATTAATTGGTTAAATAATCATCTCGCAGATGGTCTAGCTTCTGTTTTTCCTAGACGAATCTGTGTCCCTATTTTTCTGAGCAGGCGGACATATTTATTATTCGTCTGAACATTTAAAAACGATTTTTTCCTTTGGCGATTTGCGAAAAACAATTCTGTTTTGAAAATACATGACAAACTATACAATTAGTAAAAGTAGCTCGCTTTAGTTCTTCGATTATACAGGATGTTCAAACTGACTAGTTCCAGCAGGAATGCACGTATTCTCGTAGATTGCGGATTCAATTATATTATGCTGATATGGTATAACTCAGGGAGTTTTAGAAGGTCGAGCAGACCCTAAGTAAATTACTCCTCTACCAACATTCTCCATAGGTTTCTGTTAAAAACTTGCCACAACTCATATTGAGGTGCGTGTGAAACTGAGTCATTATGACATTTACCCTGATAGTAGATGGCAGCCTGAAATCTTGCTTCTTAGCTCCGCAATTATCGTTAATATTTATAAAATGTGTCAAATTTGAAAGGCTTTGTCACCCTTATTAAAAAATGTTCAACACATAGTTTATATTAAGAATCGTCCATCAATTATTTTTTATTCATGTTTGTGACCTGTCGTCCAAAAGAGTTATACAGAATTCGATTATCTTAAGTGTAGATGCATTCATATGAACTCATTTCTTTGAAGAACATTATTCGTAAAGTTTTTTGATACTCCTTCTGTGGTTTTATTGTAGCGTGAATAATACACAGTTATTATACATTTCTGGATCTGGGTAGGTGCCCACATGCAAATACGATATTTCAGGTAATGTAAAACAATGAAAAATAATCTTATTTTGCTTATCGCTTTGCAAACGGTGAACGTTTTTGAAAACGAGAATACCAACCATGCCTTAAGAAAAAAAATGTTGCAAATTGAGCAATCTCCTACCCATCATATCCCACACGTGCTCAATTGGGGATAAGTCGGGAGATCTTGGTGGCCATGGTAACAATGTGACATCATTATGTTGAAAGAAGTCTATTGTGACTCTTGCAACATGTGGTCGGGCATTATCTTGTTGGAAAGTTGGATCTGCCAGGGTGTCAAGATAGGGTAAAAGATGGGGTTCTAGAACTTCGTGGATATAACGCTGCGCGTTCATGTTACCTCTGATGAAGATTAAAGGTGACCTGGAACCATAAGCTATAGCACCCCAAACCATAACTCCAACAGTGTGATGAACATGTCTTTCAACAAAAAACTGTGGATTCCTCCTTTCACCACGTCGCCTTCTAACCCTGGCACGACCATCGTGCATGCCTAAACAAAATCGAGACTCGTCACTAAAGACAATACTGTTCCATTCCTGATCCCAGAGTGACCGTTGTCTGTACCACTCAAGGCGATTACGTCGGTGTTCTCGAGTTAAAGGGAGGACCCAGAGTGGCCGGTATGAAAACAAGCCAAAACTTCTCATTCGTCGGTAAACACTTCGAATGCGAATAGGTCTTCCGTGTTCTGCAAACCATTCATTTGCAATGGACCTGGTAGCGGAGAAACGGTCCCTTAAGGCCAATAATCTTAGGCGGCGATCTTCACGGTCTGTTCTACGGCGGCGTCCAGTGCCCCTTGCTCTTTGCGTACGGCCTGACAACACCTAACCACAGTGTCTACACTTCTTTGCACTCTAACTGCAATTGCCCGAAAAGAAAGTCCAGCTTCCCGAAGTCCCACTATACGGCTCCTATCAAACTCACTAAGTTGACGAAATCGTACAAGTCTCCGTACTCTAGGCATCGTAACCGATCGTAAAGGATGTCAAGAACCAAAATCCGCCAACGTTGATTCTTTACTGCGGCTGAAATATTCATTTTTAGAGCGTTAGTGAATTAAAAAAAAAGCAGTATAAAAACCGGAATGTCCAACTGACAAGGCTGAAAATTTTTTCACTTGTTATTTACAGTAAGATAAATACATTCACCAACTTTTATTAAAATAAAACCATTTAAACTGGGTGTTCGGATTTATATGTCACTTAGTATAGACTTATTTTGCATTGAAATGAAAATAGGTTGATATTCTGTAATTGCAACATGTTATTTTTATGCTGCAAATTTGATTAGGGAGTGATAAAGTTGGTGTTTTCTACTATATATTATCAAAATATTCATTGTTAATATTTTAAACTTATAACACCCTACTACATTTTTATTATTTGTGTTTGATAAGAAAAAAACTAAGATTTCAATAGTTGAGCCAACTGAAATGGGAAGGGGCTCGTACATATTGTAACCTGTTTTTGGACAGTCAGACAAAGAATTGGTAAAATTTTGTCCCATATATAATAATGAAAATAAGAAATTACGAATTTTTTTCGGGTTTCAACGTTCGAAAATTTTTATTTTGATTCGAAAATATCAATTATCAATATGAAGTTTTCCAATTTTTTTGATATCAGACTTGTCAGAACACAGTCATAATATACATTATTCAGTAGAATGCAATTTTTTAGTCTAAATAAAATAATTCATTAAAACTAGGCGAATACTTTAACCTAAACTATTTTAACAATTTTTAATAAATATAATTCAACAGTTTTTCCTGGAATAGGAAAACTGATTTTAAGAGTTCATTAATTTTGAATAATTTGGTGTACTCAAGCGTGTACAAAAAATTTGCCACGCTCTTAACTTAAAATCACTTTTTAATTTTAAGCTAAGTTATTTCTCTCAATTGAGGCAATGGACGATTAAAAAAAACTAGGGGGTTACTGAGGCTAAAGCCGGGGTTTAGCGTTAGCAAATTAGGCCCTATGCTCAGGTACACCAGAGAGTAGGGGGGGTATTTTTTTAGGGGCGCCACCAGCTTTTATCCGCCAAAACTGGAAGACGCCTTGGTGTTGAAAGGCACTCTTTAGCCCAAAACCCCAAGAAACAAAAACAAAAATACATACAAACAATAGATTTTCTGTGTGGGTAAATAATTTCTGAAATTAACATCAATACATTTTATTACATCTACTAACGGCTAACAACAAAAATTTGAGCCAGCCAAACTAGGAGATCTCCCTTAATGCGAAAGCTTATTGACTAACTAATTTAAAATGGACGAGGAATGGTTCATAACCGATGACGTAAGAATCCCTATGGTGGAAAAAGGGTCTCTGTTCGGAAAGAGGTCCCCGGTAGAAAACGTGTCAATGGATCTCCAGTAGCGAAGATTCCCCCAAAATAAAAAACCCTAGATGATGTCGGGTAGAGTTTTTCACGTGGTTCCATCTGGCGAAAAGTGCGGCTGAAGACAATAAGATCCTACAAATTGTAGAATTTCTCGGGTCCAAGGGTAGACAAAAAAAAAGATGCTACGCACTCACAACAGGAACGACCCAGGAAATTATCTATGAAATTTTCTTCCACAATCCAACGAAGATGCCCCAGGCAAAAAAGGAGGAAAATTTCAGGTCTTCTCGCACTAGCGGAACAGAACAAGATGGCCCTCCGATAGTGGAAGGAAGTCCCCTCCCAAAATTTTTTCGACTTGACATTTCCAAATATAGTGGTACACTTGATTAAGAGCCAAACGTTGTCGGCTAATCCCAAAATGAGAAGGTTCCTAATATAAATTCAAGGAAATAACGTGAATAAATGTGGCAACACTGTCATATCTGCATATTGATTTGATTGATTAATAAACAAAATTATAGTTATTCCGTGGTATTCATGTGTTATGTTTATTATTTCAAATAAACATGATAATAGGTAAATGTCTGCGTGTTATTTATTTTGGTTATGAATTACGTGAGAAAAATATAGCTAAATACACCGTTAAAAACATCTTGGGAAATGGCCAATGGGCCTGTCTAGTCATTTTTGTCAATAAAACTGATTTAATAATATGCTATGAACAAAAATAATATGCTACGGAGATTATTAGATTAGATTATCGGCTTTTGTTTCTTCCTTCTCAAGTTTTTGCTGCATTACTTCAAATTAAAACTGTGCGACAACAACAACAACAAAAATTATATGATTCATCGGCAATAAAATTCAACTGTTACAAGTGAACGGTTAAATTTAATTAAACGATTGCACTTTGTTTCATAGATCTGAGTTTAATTAAAATATTAAGACTTGTTACCTGTCACATAGTTACTTACAATTTTTAAATAGCTTTTTTTCAGTGTGATATTTCTTTACCTATTATTTAATATTGAATGCAATGTAGAGCAAGCTATACTAAGTGACATATAAATCCGAATACCTAGTTTAAATGGTATTATTTTAATAAAATTTTGTATAAGTACTTAATGAAGCATAATAAGTAAATGATAAAAATTTCAAAATGATTGCACTGCTTTAAAGCCCTTTGACCTTTAATAATGTGTGGATGCACCCTGATGTGCTTCGCATTCTCCAACGCGCCTAGGCATGCTTCTGATCAGGTGGTCAATGTCCTCCTGTGGTATCTCATTCGAGGCAACCACCAACTCCTCTCGAAGTGCTTCTAGAGTCTGAGGAGGACGTTGCAAATTGTGCAATCTCCTACCCATCATATCCCACACGTGCTCAATTGGGGATAAGTCGGGAGATCTTGGTGGGCATGGTAACAATGTGACATCATTATGTTGAAAGATTGTAACTCTTGCAACATGTGGTCGGGCATTATCTTGTTGGAAAGTTGGATCTGCCAGGGTGTCAAGATAGGGTAAAAGATGGGGTTCTAGAACTTCGTGGATATAACGCTGCGCGTTCATGTTACCTCTGATGAAGATTAAAGGTGACCTTGAACCATAAGCTATAGCACCCCAAACCATAACTCCAACAGTGTGATGAACATGTCTTTCAACAAAAAACTGTGGATTCCTCCTTTCACCACGTCGCCTTCTAACCCTGGCACGACCATCGAGCATGCCTAAACAAAATCGAGACTCGTCACTAAAGACAATACTGTTCCATTCCTGATCCCAGAGTGACCGTTGTCTGCACCACTCAAGGCGATTACGTCGGTGTTCTCGAGTTAAAGGGAGGACCCAGTGTGGCCGGTATGAAAACAAGCCTAAACTTCTCATTCGTCGGTAAACACTTCGCATGCCAATAGGTCTTCCGTGTTCTGCAAACCATTCATTTGCAATGGACCTGGTAGTGGAGAAACGGTCCCTTAAGGCGAATAATCTTAGGCGGCGATCTTCACGGTCTGTTGTTCTACGGCGGCGTCCAGTGCCCCTTGCTCTTTGCGTACGGCCTTCTCGAAGCCATGCCTGACAACACCTAACCACAGTGTCTGCACTTCTTTGCACTCTAACTGCAATTGCCCGAAAAGAAAGTCCAGCTTCCCGAAGTCCCACTATACGGCCCCTATCAAACTCACTAAGTTGACGAAATCGTACAGGTCTCCGTACTCTAGGCATCGTAACCGATCGTAAAGGATGTCAAGAACCGAAATCCGCCAACGTTGATTCTTTACTGCGACTGAAATATTCATTTTTAGAGCGTTAGTGAATTAAAAAAAAAGCAGTATAAAAACCGGAATGACCAACTGATAAGGCAGAAAATTTTTTCACTTGTTATTTACAGTAAGATAAATACATTCACCAACTTTTATTAAAATAAAACCATTTAAACTGGGTGTACGGATTTATATGTCACTTAGTATATTAATAACTACCCAATTGCTTGTTCTTTTTCAAGTTGCAGTGTTAAAACAGTTGGCTTATAAGGTCAAGAGCTATTCCGCTTCCCCTTTAACTTCTTTTAAATCCTGCAGCCCGATCCTGTGCGCAGCAGAAAAATCCGAATCCTCGTAGATCCATAGTACTCCCTCCCTGACCCGTATAATCAGCGGCGTTTGTAAAGGTCCACATAAACGGATTACGGGCGACGATGCTGTGTGCATCCGCTCAGAAAATGCAGTTATAAAAGGAGTTACTCGCTCAGCCTGCTCCTGCTCGTGTTGCAAAACAGAGAAGAGGGAATACAGGAAAAAGCGCTGTCTGCCCTTCCTCCACCTCTGGCTCCGTTCAGCGATACACGTCCACACTTCAACTGAACTATTAATTCAGGAGATAAAGGCCTAAAAGTCTGTCAGGTGTGAATAGCGCGACATCTTTGGTATCAAGTGACTCTATATTTCCTACGCGATGCTACAAGTTATCAACAATTTTTGCAATCATTTTGTTGGTTTTAAGGAAAGCAACTCGAGAGAGATCATTTGTTTTAAATTGAACGGGGAATTCAAAATTAATTTTTATTTGGCAAAAAACCATTGGCGTACCATTTTTTCTCAGAAGATATCGAAGTACGCACGCCATTGTTAAAGCTAAAAATTATTTTTGAATTGAAAAATATACAGGGTGCGGCAGAGAGGACGGACGTTTTTTTGATGGGTAGTACTCTCCGCATCAGTCTACAAGAGAGGTGGGGAGGGTGCCGTTTGACTCGTGAGATCCTAGCATTATTTTACCAGTTGCCGTTATGGAGCCTTGGATGGTGGAGCACCGCGTTTTCGCCTATGATTGTTTCGTCCGAAATAATGAGTCAGTCATCGTCGTATAGCGTGAGTTTCGTCGCCACTTCAACATTCATCGGAATGGAGCTGTTCCCTCTCGAAACACCATCCTTCGTTGGGTTGAATCACTTCGCAGGCGTGGTGAACTGATCAACAGAAGACCAAGAGGAGCGCCGCGAACAGTTCGAACTCCTAAAAATGTCGAACGCGTTCGACAGGTCTTTCTTCGCAGTCCGGCTCGATCTGCCCGGAAACATGCTGCTGCACTTCGCCTTAGTGATCGTTCGGTAAGTCGAATTTTGCATACGGATCTCCGCTGTCACCCCTACAAATTGGCCATTGTGCACAGTTACAGCCCGGAGATTATGCACAACGAATGAACTTCGCACGTGAGATGGAAGCACTGATCGATCAAAATGAGAATCTCTGCTTTTGTTTATGAGTGACGAAACCCACTTTCTCAAGCCACAAGCCCCGAACCCTGAACGAATTGAAGGGCGAAATTCGCGTGGAAGTCGCTCAAGTTGAGAGAGCGGTCTTGGAGAGAGTCTACGCGAACTTCCAAGAACGCCTCCAGCACGGCATCAACGATTTCGACCACCACATGCCTGATGTGATTTTCCACACTTGACTGTCTCAAATGCTATTTCCTTGTGATCCTGATTCCATCAATAAATTTGTTTTCGAGTAAAAATTAACTATATATGATTTTTTTAAAACCGTCCATCCTCCTTGCCGCACACTGTACCACTTTATTAACTTTCACTACGTACTGAACTTCTACAGCCCGAGTTTTGTAAGGAAACATTTATGGACCATAGTTTATAAAGCAAACTAACATTAATTTTTCAGGTAGATTCACACCTTTAAATATGCGCATATCATTAAGGAACACCCTGAATATATATATATATATATATATATATATATATATATATATATATACAAGTATATATAACTTGAGACGTGGTTATTGTCGTCTAGACCAGTTAGGTGAAAAATTAAAGCTTCCGCCTTTTGTTGGGTACTCCGACAAAATTTAAGCAAAGAGGACTCTTTATACTTTTTTTAATTCTCTCTTGCTTTCAATGGACTTTGCCATCATCATCAGGAGCTGCAATTACAATGATAACAGTAGCAACAAAAGTGTAAAATGAATTTAAATTGAATCAACTTACAGTAGTATGTGAGGATGTTGCTAATTGTTGTTTTCGTATAGGATGAGGGAAACGTCCAGTAACATGGTGAGAGCTGGATACATGGTACAATGGTTAAAATTATATAAAATATGACAAGACAAGTTAATGAAAGATTGAAAATTATTTAGAAAACATATTTAGAAGCCACTTGATGATTGCACAAAATGGTGGTCATGGAATAATGAATGAGATGAACCTTTGACAGAAAGCCGAAGGTTGTCAATGTCTGTGTTGAAAGATGGAACGAATTGTGGGCGTGTGCCAATACGTCGCCAAATCACTTCAGATGATGTGATTTTCAGAATGTTATGTAAGAAATTGTTAAACCGACCAGAGGCAGTTGAATAAAATATATTTTAATTAATGGGAATTTTAAATTAACAATTATTAATAAATCGTGAGAAGAGAATTATTAGATTTTGAGTGGAATGAAATTTGTTGGTGGAATCGGACAAAACACAGATTATATTTATGGTTGTGAAAAGTCAAAATTTGGGGAGATATGTAAGTTCTCCAATTTTTCGCAGTTTAGCAAATATGAGTAAATGACACTCAGTTGTTTAACATCTGTCTTTTTGTTGATACAGTTGTTATTCATGAAAATGTGGGACATTTCCAGGAATAAACGTTTGGAAAGGTGTTTTTCTTTATCAAGAACTTTGATACTTGTGTAATTCATTAACACAACAGGGCA